TTCTATTCTATTCTATTCTATTCTATTCTATTCTATTCTATTCTATTCTATTCTATATAGGTGTAAATAAATGGGGTAAAACTGTTTGGCTCTTATATGGTTCACATAGTGACCCAAACCACACAAGTTATTTTAATGTTTAGATATTTGATACTCTGCTAGTCTTAAAACCATACAGCCCAGCTTTTAGTTCCAAGTGTGTGTGTGTGTGTGTGTGTGTGTGTGTGTGTGTGTGTGTGTGTGTGTGTGTGTGTGTCATGTTTCTGTTCTGAATAAGTGTGATGTCGTTGCCCTGCAGGAAGTGGGTGGCGTACAGTAAACTGTACCAGAGTTTAGAGGTGGACTCATCGGTTCTGTTCCAGCAGATCACCAGTATAGAGTACCACTGGCACCAGCAGGAGCTGCCCTACCAGCAGGTACTTCTTCTGTTCGTACACAACATTACAACAGAATATTTAAATACTTTCTCTCCTGACATTTTCATCCTTACATCATCATCACCAACAGTTTTATTCCTGATTGGTTTTATGATCATTTATTCACTTTAAATCCTCTTTCTTGTAACAGTTTATATTTTAGTTTATTTTTCTTCAGTTAGAAACTAGAAGTTGATGTTTCAGCAGAGACGAGTGTTGACAAAGGTGTTGTTTTGTGTTATCAGAAACAGGAACTTGGGGATTCTCTTCATGGTTTCCTGCAGTACGGTTTATGTCTGGTGGCCAAATACAGAGACATCTTCCCCCCGAGCCCCACTGCTACCCCCAAACTACACACGCTGCTCAGGTACTCACAGGTGTTGTTCAGTTGTGTAACAGTCTGTGTCTGTGTTAGCAAAATGTCTCTTTGTTACAGGCTTTAATGAAACTCATTAGCTGCACAAACACAACTCATTACATTTGACAGTCAGATGATTGAAGATGACTTTATTAATAACAGGAGTCAGTTCACAGACACTGAGCTGAAAACTGCAGCTGAGTTTGTTTTTACGTCTTTATCTTTAGTTGTTGGATCAACCAAAGTCACGAGGGAGACCACCACAGTTACCTTASAGGAGAAAAAAATGACTCTGACTCATCAGTTTTACAGACGTCAAGATAAAAATAATCTGAACACTAAGTGATTCATCATCATGAAACTTTATTTATAAAACTCTTTAACACCAAACAGCTGAAACAAAGTACTGAACATCTGAAATAAGATAAAGGAAAGTATTTGTTCTGTGCATTAACATGATGTTAGCTGTTGAAATTAACCCACTTTAAGATGGCCGTTTGTACATGAGAACCTGCAGTTCTACTGTGCATCAATTATTTAACAAATCTGATCAGACATAATGTTTTTAATTATAATGTTTTTAATCATAATGTTTTTAATTATAATGTTTTTAATTATAATGTTTTTAATCATAATGTTTTTAATTATAATGTTTTTAATCATAATGTTTCTTTT